GAGGAGCTGGCCGAAGCTGAAGGGGTGGAGGGCTGGAGAGCAACGAACGGCCCGCAAGTCCGCTGCATAGGTGTAGTGATGCCCGACCCAGGTGGAGCTGACGTGCTGAGGGAGTCCGGTGAGGCTGAATGGCCGATGGTCACTGCCGACATCGAGGGAGGAAGGAGCGCAGGTGCAGGAGCCAGTGCGACGGGTCGAGTAGGAGTGGAGCACACAGAGGCAGAAGGCGGAGCCACAGGCTTCCCACATCCAGGAAGAGATGGCTCCCAGTAGTCCCAATGTGGATCCTTGCCACTGAGAGGAGGCTGAGTTGAAACTGAAGGGCTGATGGGAGGCAGTGATGACTGGGTGCCAGGTGTGGCTGGGGACTGGAGAGGGGCTTGGAGAGTGATGCAAAATCCAACAAAAAATAAAGTCTCAAATATTTTGGAGAGGTGGTGGGAGAGGGAGGTTAGGTGGGTCCAGATAATTAGAGACATAACAGATTCAGATGGTAGCAAACTGGGTAGAAAGTTAATCTCTCCAAAATCAAAACAGTTTTCCCATGTGCTTGCCAAACACTCACTCTCAGTGGCGGGAGGTTGGGTGGGGCTCACTTCCATACCCTTGTATTCCACTAGCACTCCCTAGGCGACAGATAATGCAGCCGGCTCACACACCTGGTCAGGCACTCTGTGCTTAGGCTCCTTGGCGATGTTCAGCTCGGTCGCTCTTGTTAGCACTGGCCTGCATGTCGTGGCGGAGTTGCTCTCGTTGCCTGCGGTGGGCTCGGGGTGCCGATCTCCGCAGTCTGGGTGTTGTTGGCTGGGCACTGGGTAGTTAGTGGGGCTAGTTTAGTTTAGTTTAGTTTAATTTAGTTATATCAGGACAATGTGCAGTTACATAAAAAAGATGGCTGCACCAGATTTAGCACTATGCTAATTTCCATCTGTAGTCTTACACAATTAAGATTACATGACAAAGTTAAAATTACATAACAAAGACCAGAACCCACTCTACGTATTTGGTGAAGCTCCCCAGAGGGCCTTCCCAGACAGCTGGTGGCGGTCTGGTGGCGGTGTTGAGGCCGGCATACAGGAAGCTGCAGAGGCAGTTGTCCGGGAAAGATGTAGCTGGCACAAGGCTGAGGAATTCCTCCAAATGTTCCTCGAGGGAGCGGTCTTTCTGTTCAAGGCATAACAGTTTGACTGCTGCCAAGAGGTCTATAGTGCAGAAAGAAACCAAAAACACGTACTCAAAGAAAGTGAAAAAATTAATTAATTTTTTTTTTTTTACATTTCAACAAACACGCCACTTATCTTTTCTTAGGTCTGGTCTTCTGTCACAAGCAGGTTGTGTAAACACACACGAAGAGGAAGATCAGAGTAAACAAGTAATCTTTAATAATCCACACAGGTCAACTCATGGTCTGAGAAAATATTTTCACGCAAATAATGATCAATAATGCAAAAGAAGTCCCATCTGTTTCCATTAAAAATATAAAGCAATTAAAAATATATTTGGCCAGTGGAAAAGATTGAGAAACACTTTCTCTGAAATGTGTTTTATACTATTTTTATTCAAAAACAAGGCAAGGATAGGCTACTAAATGATTTTTAGCAATGTAATGTGATGGCACATCCACATCCGTATCTCATATTGTCCTAATGTCTTGTACCGTTAAACAGGGTATCTTGAGGATGAATATGTATATGCAAATGATATGCAGATGAGGATATGCATAGTAAAACTGTCCCGTGAGGTTGAAGCAGATGAGGTAGTAGGATCCATTTGCAGATTGACTTTATTTACACCACTCAGAATATACAAAGACAGATTCAATCAGGAATCAGGAATCGCAGAACCAGCAAACAACATTAAAGGGTTAGTTCACCCCAAATTGAAAATTCTGTCAGTAATTACTCACCCTCATGTTGTTCCAACCCCGTAAGACTTTCGTTCATCTTCGGAACACAAATTAAGATATTGTTGATGAAATCTGAGAGCTGGATCACTTCTCCATAGGCTTCTTAAGGGATCGAAACTGGCCGGCCCAAAAGTTATGAAAGACATCGTTAAAATAGTCCGAGTGACTACAGTGGCTCAATCTTAAGTTTATCAAGCGACGAGAATACTTTTTGTGCGCAAAAAACAAACAAAAAGAACGACTTTATTCAACAACTCTGTAAGGCCGTGATATTTCACGTAGTGAAACTACGCAAAGCTTCTAGGTTGCACGTCACACGTAGGCTCACTATTGGCCGACGCTGGTCATGTGTGTGATGCGTGACGTACAACCTAGAAGCTTTGCGTAGATTCACTACATGAAATATCACGGCCTTACAGAGTAGTTGAATAAAGTCGTTCTTTTTGTTTGTTTTTTTGCGCACAAAAAGTATTCTCGTCGCTTGATAAACTTAAGATTGAGCCACTGTAGTCACTCGGACTATTTTAACGATGTCTTTCATAACTTTTGGGCCGGCCAGTTTCGATCCCTTAAGAAGCCTATGGAGGAGTGATCCAGCTCTCAGATTTCATCAAAAATATCTTAATTCGTGTTCCGAAGATGAACGAAAGTCTTACGGGGTTGGAACAACATGAGGGTGAGTAAGTACTGACAGAATTTTCATTTTTGGGTGAACTAACCCTTTAAGGACCCACAAAGACTGAACTAGACATACAGGCTTAAATACAAGGGTAAACGAGCTAACAAGATAACAAGAGGGTGTGGCTAATAGGAAACACCTGTGACAGACTAATAAACATAACGGGGAGCTGCTAAAAATGAAACAAGACAGAAACACAGACTAGAGAAACACGACAGAAACACAAACTAGACTGTGACAAACATGAAACCAGACAGAAACACAGACTAGCCTTGTGACAAAAACTAAGCGTTGTAAGCTCCATATATGTTTATTTTGGGGAGGAGATGCATGTGTGCAAAATCTTCCGCAGACTGGGATTTATAAAGGGTATTTTGCGCTTTATAAGTCTGATTATTTTTGGGTGTGCGCCATTTTTGGCTTTCGGGCGCATGTAGACTTTTAGTAAGGATGCTATGCACAGTTTTATAAATGAGACACCTGGTGAGAGCAAAAAAAGAAAAACATGTAATTCTATGGTGTAACCACTAGATGCTAGTATAGCTCTCTACAGAGAGTCTTGTGAATTCCCTAGTAGTTTTAAGACAAAATGACTTACTTTTAAGTTGTGGATTTGAACGTATTTTTAGAAATTCTCAAATACTACTTTTTGTCAAGGTTTATATATATATATATATACACGTTTTTGCATTATTACTACGGATCCGGGCCGTATCCAGATCAGATGGTGGACCTGCGCCTAGACATGACCACAACGCATCCCTGAAGTGTCAGCAGAGATTGTGTCAACTAGACTCTCCCCTGTGAAGGCCTTATCGACACGACAGCCATCGGCACTGATCCTCAACAAACCCGTCTCCATACCGCGTGATTACTCCAATCTTCAACCAGATGGAACTGGATAATATTCTGATTGTTCCAATCCAACCTGACTTCTGATCTATAATGCTGCCTGAATCATAATTCATTTAATTAATTTAATATTCAACAATAATATTGATCTAATTTCACTGACACCATTATATGAGAACTGAACTGAGCTGGATGATGACATCACGGTTTTCTCCAGAGCGGCTATATATATAAATTAACTAAATTAATAACATTTTTACAACAAAAAATAAAACATCACTGAACTTACTTAAGCTGGACTGTGATGCTATTTTCTTCTGGAAGTAAACTTTGTTGCAATATTTTCCTGTTATCTCTGTAAAGCTGCTTTGAAACAATCTGTATTGTAAAAAGCGCTATATAAATAAATGTGACTTGACTTGACTTGACAGTCAAACCTGAATACAGAGAAAGCATTTTGTTACACATAACATTAAAATTCAATACAAGTGTAACAAAAATTAACTAAAATGCTTTATCACAGCTTAATCCATCTGGATCTGATCTAATTTCAACATCTTATTTCAGTCTTCTGACTCATTTTTGCTGTTTGGTTATAGCCCTACCAGTTCGTGTGTGTGAGTGGGTGTGTCTGTTTTGCACTCTTGATGTTTTAGAGTATAACCCCTTCCTTGCTGTCCACTTTTTTACTGCATTGTGGTTGAATTATTGATTTTATTTGACATATTTTTTTCTATTACAGTCACATCAGTTCATAGGTGTATCGGTGTGTGAGTGGGTGTGTCTGTTTTGCACTCTTGATGTTTTAGAGTTTCACCTCTTCATTGCTGTGCAATTTTTTTCTGCATCGTGGCTGATTTGTAGATTGTACACACAAAAATGTTCTGTATTTACGTTCTGTAAACAGCACCATCGTCCACGTCATTTAAAAGAAAATGCGACTTATCAGACCAGGCGACTTTCTTACACTGCTCAGAAATCCGACGCTGGCATGCCCATTGTAATCGCTTTCAACGGTAGACAGGGGTCATGATAGCCACTCTGATTGGTCTGCGTCTATGCAACAGTGTCATGCACTGTGTGTTATGACACATTCCTCCCATAACCATCATTAAAATAATGACTTAAAGAGCCACAGTAATGATGCCACAGTGGACCTTCTATTGGCTCTTAAGGGATAGCCGTCGTTGCCCTCATGTATGGCTGAGCCTTGGGGGCACAACACTTTCTCACCAGTGTTGTGGTTTGTCCCTCCTCGGACCACCGTTGGTAAATTCTCATCACTGCTGACCATGAACAACCCACAAGCCTTGACGTTTCAGCAATACTATGACCCAGTCACATTGCCATAACAATTTGCCCCTTGTCAAAGTCACCTAAATCTTTATTCTTGTCCATTTCTCCAGCATCCAACATGTTGATTACGAGAACTAATTGTTTGCTTACCATCTAATCTACCTTAATATCTTGTTAGGAGATGATCAGCGATATTCGCTTAAAAAAATATTGGACATAATGTTTTGGCTTATCAGATGTGATTTAAACATGTTTTACCCTACTCAGGCTTTAACCCCAGGTGGGACTGCACCTTTAAGTTCCAGCTTCATGTGCCAGAGCTGGTATTAGTACGTTTTATGGTCGAGGACCATGACTACGCCACCAGTAATGATTTCCTGGGCCAGTTTACGTTTCCTTTCACAAGCATGCGGACAGGTATGACTTTTATTCATTCTTTACTGAACACAAACTGCCCTGTTTTGACTGCACACACTTATTCTGTAACATTTGTTCTGCAGGTTACAGACATGTGCATCTGCTGAAAGCAGACGGCTCTAGCATGTCTCCCTCCAGTCTCTTCATCCATGTTAAAATCACTCCTGGCTACAACAGCCCTACCAGACAAGCGGGCACACATAGTACCTGAGAATAAAGCGTGCAGTTAAAGCACCTGAAGTGCCCCTTATCTGGGAAGGAGTTTTTTGTGACCCAAAATTGCCACCACTGTGTGAGAGTTATATGTTATTAAAAACAAAATAGGGGGAAAATATATTTTGCTATATTAAATTTGATTCTAATTTAAGTATTAATTTAACAATGTAGTAGGGTTTATGCTTTATATATATATATATATATATATATATATATATATATTAGTACTGTCAATCGATTAAAACAACTAGATTAATCACACACTTTTTTCTGTGATTAAAAATACTTACCTTTTTAATTTATTTTATAATGTAATAATTTCACAGTTAATCTCCAAATTAATGTAGAAACAACATAAAGATGGGTCTCATTCACTAATAATTGCGTGGATTATTTTGTATTTGTACGCACTGGATAACTTCCGAAAAATCTCTGCCTAATTCACAACATGTTCGTACCATAGACTGTAAAAAAAGATGGACGACGCACCTTCACTCTCTTCCATCGTTGAAAGGTGAAGCCGCCATGTCCCAATATGGTGCTGACATCTTGCTGTGATTTGGAACCTGATTCTGCGAGGTAGTGAACGCGGGACCCGTGAAGAGTAGCTGCATTATCAAGGCCCCGCCCACACAATTAATTCAGTTTACTGCAGAACAACTAATTATGTCTGTGTGAAATAAACAGTTATGGAAATATAGAAATTAAAGTTGAAGCTCCAATCTCCTCTTGAAAATCCCCAAAAAAGTCTGTTGGTACCTCAGTGACTACTTCGCTCAGAGAAGCTGTCAATCACAGCTGTCAATCATGATGTGACACTCCATTTTTTATAGAATTAAATAAATAATTAGCTAAGACCAAACTTATTTCAAAGAACAAACACCTAACCTTACATCATCGTGATTAAAAACTACCTAATATGACAGAAAACATCTTTGGGAAAAAAAATTTATTTGAAGTGTAATTTGATTGTTTAGTTTGCCTTACGTCCCATTAGACTACATGGAGAGCACAGGGTTTACGACATATACTGGGATCAACCACATGGGGGCGATCGTGGCTTCATTTTCAGGGCATGTGCGGCACGCTTGGTTCGTACCAAGCGGCAACCTCCCTATCTCTCTCTTGAAGCCAACACGGAAGTGAATTAAACTGCAATTCATCGACTGGCCACTTGAGGCTGGATGCAAAGATCTCCCCATGTTAAAAAATGTTTACAGCCTGGTGCAAAAAGTGGTTTTGGTCTATATACCTAATTTTGCCCTTCATGACAACTGTGAGGGGGGTGAATTTTTTTATAACTCATCCGTTTAAATTATATTAAGCTTTAAAGTTCTGCATAATTAAGGGCATGGCCACGAGTGACAGGTGGATTGCGGCTGCTGTCACTGCTAGCCGTTTGTCTGCTGTCTGTTAGCGTCACGTCACCTCAGCTTATCCCAGCTGCTGAATTTGGCATCTCTGCCGTGTTTGTGCTTATTTCGGGATTATTTCATACAATTTCATATACGCATTATACCTTCGCCCACGCCGTTGGATTCTGTCGTTGTCGGGTATCGAGAGAACAACCAGCGCTGTTTTTCAGTTGTTTTCCTCTGTGAACATGCACTCATGGATTTCGGACAATTTCGTTTCTTTTTGGAGTTCAGATTTAAAAACATCTATAGATATAGAGACTACACTCGTTCTGCGGTACTGTTCTATATATGCTTATTTAACTTTTTAATGTTAAATAAAAAGTACCGTCAGATGAAATCATGCAGGTGTCAATGCTTTCTCTCTGTCCATGCAATAGATGCACACTCTTGAATGAGTGCGGACTTCTAGTGCATTTACTTGAACTTCTTGGGTAATATCTATGGTTTAACCCATTTGAGAGGCGGACAAAATCAAAATTTAAAATGGACTGAATACTCTCTACGAAGTTGAACTTGACATGCGCTGGCTGACATGTATGCGCATTTATCACTGTCACACACACAAACACGCTCAGATCAATAAGTTACTGCATGATAATACATTTTTAACTAGCAGAATAATAATGCATCACGATACACATTGTCTCACTTTTAGTTATGTCTTTTAACTATTATAGTATTTCGAAGGGCAAAAACATGACCTTTACCTATTGGCTTTACTTCTTCAAGTCAGCTGTCACTTTACCTATTGGCTTTACTTCTTCAAGTCAGCTGTCACTTTAGCGTGAGGCCAGAAAAATATCGTATCCGGGAGTGATGCACTGTGATGCGCTGGCAAGATGGCGACGGACGGCTCCGCCCACTTTAGGCTTCAAAAACGCTCTTCAGAAACTTACGGATGACGTCACGGACCCAACGTCCATATTTTTTTACAGTCTATGGTTCATACGCACATTAATTTGTTCTTTACCTCGTTGTGATGTTAGTGAATGCGGAGTATTCTAAATGAGCGGCCGTGTGCACGAGGTTAGTCATTTGCATAAAACATGGCCAAACCATCTCCATATAAGGGCTTTCCGCAAACGCTTTCCTTACAGCCTTTCGTCACTCTCGTCCAACTTGCCGCTGTTTGCAGACGAGCTCTTGCCCGATTCTCGAGCAAAGTCGGCAATCAAAAATATTATTCCGGGAGTAAAACTGAAAAGAACTACATTAGGAAGTGGCATTGGCAAATGTGCTAATGAGTGTCCTCTGCTGCTAATTATGGAAGCATATGGGTAGCAATATTCAATTTGAAATGTAAAATGCAAAATGACAATGCAATATGTAAAATGACAATGCATTTCTGTATTTAAATTTACATTTTCCATTACATTTGTGCAATGTTTGGTGCAAAATGAAAATGAAAATTAAATTATATAATTTACATTTGCCATTTCATACAATAGTTTTAATATGTAAATTAAATACATATTTTAACGCTTTATAAGTTGCAAAATTAAAATGTATTACAGAAATTATTAGATATGTTTAAAAAAAATTATTTTAATGTCTGACGGGTCAAACGATTGAAGATAAAAGTTCATAATTTTAGCATGAAAAGGCAGCTTAATTTGCTGGCATTTATCAGACATCTGAAAAGGAGGAGACATAGCAATTATGTGAATAATAATACATCTCTGATCTGTTTTACTCATTTGGAATACAGTGAATCAATTAATTAATTTACCTTAATTATTATTTGTGGAACAGATAAGGTGCTATATGGAATAATATTCCGGACTATATAAAAGAAACCCCGTCTCGGTCACGTATGTAACCCTGGTTCCCTGAAGAGGGAGCAAGATGCTGCGGGAACGCCCCTGCGTGATTGCGTCATGAAGCACGTATGGAATCAGTCCAATGGCGAGACGGAATGTCATAGGCGGGTGACGTCATCGACCAGGAAACTATAAGGCACCCCTGAATCATAACAGCGCTAGCTTCTGATAGGTTAAAGCAAGTCGATCACGGGCATGCTGGGAGTATGGCAGGATGACGCAGCGTCTCGTTCCCTCTTCAGGGAACTAGGGTTACATACGTAACCGAGACGTTACCTTTCATGGAAACTCAAGCTGCGTCGAAACGCTGTGGGAGCGCTAATACCCATGTCGCTATAAGAGCAAATGTCCGTCCGTGTGAAGCACATTCAGACGAAAGCACCTGCGCCCCTGGAGTGGAGCTGAAGTCAAGATCGTACAACCTCACGAATGTGTGCGGTGAGGACCAGCCTGCCGCATCACAAACATCATGTAGGGAAACTCCTGACAATAAAGCTTTAGCAGCCATACTCCTAGTCGAGTGAGCTCGTACAGCCAAAGGTGAAGGCTGACCAGCCGACTCATAAGCAAGTGAGCAGAGGTGGAAAGTAACTAATTACAAATACTTTCGTTACAGTACTTGAGTAGATTTTTCGATTTTTTCTACTTTCTTGAATATAATTCAAATGTGGTACTTTTACTCTTACTTGAGTAGAATAAAAATAAAGTATTCAACTTCGCTACATTTATTTTTCACCAAAAGTACAAAGTACTATGGTACTACTTTGACAAAGGTGCCGACGGAGCAACAGGGCAAGCTGACATTTGACAGACACTTTTCAAAACTACTGCGGTGGAGCCCTGAGCTTCAGCCAATAACAGACAGATCTGAAGCGCTTCAGCCAATAACAGACAGGTCTGACTCAGGTGCAAAACCAATCAAAACTTTCAGTTCGGCTGGGGGGCAAACCGCGCTTTGACATTCAATCACTGGCACTTGTGTTTTGAATCAGTATCGCAAACGTTTCAATATTTCAGTGAATGTAAGTGAGCTATGCTAATATTCTGATTTTAAATTTAAATTATTAGCAACTCCTGAAATACGTAATCCCATTGATAATACCAGAGCACTGAGCAGTTAAAGTAAATAAAAAACTCGGCTCATAACATGGAGTATAGAAACTATATGGAATATAACACGGAGCAAGAACAATGTAAGTGTCTAAAACGCATGCACAGCTCAATTAAATGGTAAAGCTCTTTAACAATACAGTTAAACTAAATGTACGAACCTAACGTTGTACAAAGCTGAAAAAAACTCAACAACAGTGAAATAAGATCGCATGATTTATCTGTCAATCAGAGGCATGTAAATGTGTAGCTCGTTACAATAGCAACAATGGCCTCCCAGCACATTATCGGTAGAACGGAAAAAAAGAGAGTATTTAATTAATGTTAACCTGTAACCCACTTAATTTTTTTTTTTTTTTTTTACTGGCACTTTTTTATTCATAGGCTACTGTTGTAAATCTCTCTTTTTTATGGGTCCTCTCACTTAACCTTCTTTGCTTTCAATTTTGAAATGATTCAAATGAGACATTCAAATTATCTTTCCTGGACTTACTTTTCAAAATCACAATACATGTCAGTCGTGTTTGAAATTGGTTTCATGTTGCTTCTTAACACAGAGTGAGAATATATTATTTTATTAAATTATATGATACAAGCTATGTTGATTCGCATTGCATTAAAGGGTTGAGTGTTTAGTGCTCCATATCGCTATCATCTTCCCATTTTGGGTAAAAATAGAAAAATAATACTAAAGTACTTTGTAACGTAGTTACTTGAGTATTTTTTAAGCAAACTACTTATTTACTCTTTCTTGAGTCATATTATTTTCAGTACTACTACTTGTACTCAAGTAAATTATTACTTAAGTAGCAATACTTTTACTTAAGCACAATTTGTTAGTACTCTTTCCACCACTGCAAGTGAGATAGCCTCAACCACCCACTTGCTCATCCTCTGCTTAGATGCAGGACACCCCTTCCTGGGTGACCCAAAACAAAAAGGAGTTTTGTCACATATATTCATTATATAAAAAAAACTATAAAAATGGCGAGCGAACAGCAATATAAGAAGTGTGTACATCCCTGAACTCGATATCTCACGGGTGGGGATGCTATGTGTTTGGGAGTGCAGCATGCCCAGTCAGCTCTCGAGGGGGCTGATTGTGAGCATTGTGAGCGTTTACCATTAAAGGAGAACTCCGGCGCAAAATGAACCTTTGGTCTAATAAAACATTGGTACCTAGTCAACCGTTCTCTGAGATTTGTTTTCATGATAATCGAATGTAAAGAGTTTTATCTCTAAAAACTGTTTAGCGTATAACGCTAGTAATGGGGGCATCTATTAAGTAAAAAGAAATCGCTAGTTTATACCACTAACAAGACTCAAAATAGCCCCACACTAACACAGTAACATAACGAGGGTCCCTACATGCAAAACAAAGCATTGAGAACTTTGTAAGTGTACAGACCGTTTAATAAGAAGATATTTTATGAAGACAGTCCACTTTGTGTATACAGACAGGAGCCATCTTTGGAAAACAGTCTCAACTAGTCAAACCACGAACGACGTGCTAAGTGAGCTGAACTGTATGAAGTTCAGTGAACTTCTGAACTGTATGAATGGCGTTCGTGGTTTGATTAGTCGAGACTGTTTTCCAAAGATGGCTCCTGTCTGTATACACGAAGTGGACTGTCTTCATAAAATATCTTCTTATTAAACGGTCTGTACACTTACAAAGTTCTCAATGCTTCGTTTTGCATGTAGGGACCCTCATTATGTTACTGTGTTAGTGTGGGGCTATTTTGAGTCTTGTTAGTGGTATAAACTAGCGATTTCTTTTTACTTAATGGATGCCCCCATTACTAGCGTTATACGCTAAACAGTTTTTAGAGATAAAACTCTTTACATTCGATTATCATGAAAACAAATCTCAGAGAACGGTTGACTAGGTACCAATGTTTTATTAGACCAAAGGTTCATTTTGCGCCGGAGTTCTCCTTTAATGGTAAACGCTCACAATGCTCACAATCAGCCCCCTCGGGAGCTGACTGGGCATGCTGCACTCCCAAACACATAGCATCCCCACCCGTGAGATATCGAGTTCAGGGATGTACACACTTCTTATATTGCTGTTCGCTCGCCATTTTTATAGTTTTTTTTATATAATGAATATATGTGACAAAACTCCTGCCTAGTAGCAACTAAGGAAGGACAATAACACTTTTCAGACAATGATTCACACAGAGCGCTTGCTGAAGGCACAGAAGCTAACGCTGTTATGATTGAGGGGTGCTTTATAGTTTCCTGGTCGATGACGTCACCTGCCTATGATGTTCCGTCTCGCCATTGGACTGATTCCATACGTGCTTCATGACGCAATCACACAGGGGCGTTCCCACAGCGTTTCGACGCAGCTCGTGTTCCCTTGAAAGGGAATTCAATTTGTGGACTCATATGTTGTGTGACATGATCCAAACGCAATTGCATTTGTGTTTCCATTTTCCTTTTCTGTGTATGTAACGTGTTTATTTCTTTATAATATTTATAAAGTTCTCCATTATGTTTTTATATGTTACACAGACATTTTAACAGGTCTTAGTAACCCAGTTCTGGCAGCTTGAACGAAACAGATGTCAGTACTATAGTTTTACGGTTTTGTGTTTTTTTTGGTATACTCATTAAAACTTACAGTTGAAGAGGTAATACTGCTTGTGTACCTCTCCCATTCTGAACTTAAGTGGCTCCAAAAAAGCTTTATTATCCATTACATCCATTGCAGAGAACACATCAAACCCCCTCTGAACAGACAAATGGACAGCATAATAAGTCATGAGACCATAACAAGCTATACAATTAAAAGCAGCATAATGACTCCATAGGTCAGGGTAGTTTGGATGTGACAGATGGGCAGTAAATATCTTCATACGAGGCACAATCGATATATTCAGCTGTATTGTGTTGATATGCCCTTTGACTTACTGCTTTACAGATTATAAGGGTGTCCCCCATTAGCTGCAGCAGCGGGGTGGCTTTACTGATGCAGTAGAGAACACAGGCTGCTTTCAGGCCTTTATGCACAGGGTGGTTCAGAGCCGTAGAGGGAAGAGTGTAGAAACTCACCATGTCAGTTACTGTACCGGTCATGCTCTGCATACAGACATATGAGTGGCATTAATGCAGCACATGACAGCTATCGTAGATGTCTGAATGAGAATGGAAAGGTCCCTGTCATCATACTGACCTCCACAACATATGTGTCAATCACACCATCTTGAGGCAGAAGCCAGTGTTCAACATCCTCCAGGGTCATAACAGGAGAGAGATGAAAAGCCTTTAGATGTTCTCTCAGAAGGGCCTGAACCACTAGAACATCCTGCGCAGTCATGGGGCGAAGGCCAGTAGTTTTTGTTGTATTATCATGAAAACAAATCTCAGAGAACGGTTGACTAGGTACCAATGTTTTATTAGACCAAAGGTTCATTTTGCGCCGGAGTTCTCCTTTAATGGTAAACGCTCACAATGCTCACAATCAGCCCCCTCGGGAGCTGACTGGGCATGCTGCACTCCCAAACACATAGCATCCCCACCCGTGAGATATCGAGTTCAGGGATGTACACACTTCTTATATTGCTGTTCGCTCGCCATTTTTATAGTTTTTTTTATATAATGAATATATGTGACAAAACTCCTGCCTAGTAGCAACTAAGGAAGGACAATAACACTTTTCAGACAATGATTCACACAGAGCGCTTGCTGAAGGCACAGAAGCTAACGCTGTTATGATTGAGGGGTGCTTTATAGTTTCCTGGTCGATGACGTCACCTGCCTATGATGTTCCGTCTCGCCATTGGACTGATTCCATACGTGCTTCATGACGCAATCACACAGGGGCGTTCCCACAGCGTTTCGACGCAGCTCGTGTTCCCTTGAAAGGGAATTCAATTTGTGGACTCATATGTTGTGTGACATGATCCAAACGCAATTGCATTTGTGTTTCCATTTTCCTTTTCTGTGTATGTAACGTGTTTATTTCTTTATAATATTTATAAAGTTCTCCATTATGTTTTTATATGTTACACAGACATTTTAATAGGTCTTAGTAACCCAGTTCTGGCAGCTTGAACGAAACAGATGTCAGTACTATAGTTTTATGGTTTTGTGTTTTTTTTGGTATACTCATTAAAAGCAATTAATATAAACTAGGATACTGTATTTTAAAGATAATTTTGTAAAATCCAAATAAGCATTACATATCTTTATTGGCAACGTTTTCAATGCTTGTTCATTAAATAAACACATGGATGCAAATTTCAGATTGAGAAATGAGGATTTATTCATATATTGAGAAAAGTGTGCTATTTGAGTTTTGTGCTTATGTCATTTCACTGCACATTTGTGGCGCAAAATGCCATTACTTCAGCACAACACCCACCTGAAACATAGAATACACAGTATTAGTTAATTAAATCTATCACTTTTCCTTCAAACCTTCAAAAGAACGAAAAGAAATTTAAACTATCACAGAATGTTTGATTACCTTGTCAGAGGATATTTCAGGGCATCTCCAGTTGAAGAGGTAATACTGCTTGTGTACCTCTCCCATTCTGAACTTAAGTGGCTCCAAAAAAGCTTTATTATCCATTACATCCATTGCAGAGAACACATCAAACCCCCTCTGAACAGACAAATGGACAGCATAATAAGTCATGAGACCATAACAAGCTATACAATTAAAAGCAGCATAATGACTCCATAGGTCAGGGTAGTTTGGATGTGACAGATGGGCAGTAAATATCTTCATACGAGGCACAATCGATATATTCAGCTGTATTGTGTTGATATGCCCTTTGACTTACTGCTTTACAGATTATAAGGGTGTCCCCCATTAGCTGCAGCAGCGGGGTGGCTTTACTGATGCAGTAGAGAACACAGGCTGCTTTCAGGCCTTTATGCACAGGGTGGTTCAGAGCCGTAGAGGGAAGAGTGTAGAAACTCACCATGTCAGTTACTGTACCGGTCATGCTCTGCATACAGACATATGAGTGGCATTAATGCAGCACATGACAGCTACCGTAGATGTCTGAATGAGAATGGAAAGGTCCCTGTCATCATACTGACCTCCACAACATATGTGTCAATCACACCATCTTGAGGCAGAAGCCAGTGTTCAACATCCTCCAGGGTCATAACAGGAGAGAGATGAAAAGCCTTTAGATGTTCTCTCAGAAGGGCCTGAACCACTAGAACATCCTGCGCAGTCATGGGGCGAAGGCCAGTAGTTTTTGTTGTCTGTTGTGATAGAAAATAAGGAGAGAGATTATTAGTATAGTTAAAAGATGTACATACTTTCTCTCACATCTTCAAAAGGACTCCAAACAAAGACAATGCCACTATATTTATTTATTTATTTTGGAAACGAACCAATATGAACTTAAAATGAAATAAACCTGTAAAAAATATTGTTCAAAGTCAAAAGGTTTGAGATCCACTGCTCTAAACTAGCTGCAAATGTTTAAAAAAAAAAAAATTCAGACAGTTTGGGATTACTATGATTTTTGGAAAGATATTGATACTTCTATTCTTGTTAATCACTGTTTACACCTACCTTATAGAGAAATTAATTTCAAATAATTCCATAACATTGTAAAACAATTAACTACTTAAAAAAATACTCACTGACATAATAAATCAAAACTCAGTGACTATCAGAATTTAAACTTATTGCAGGAAAAATTAGGGACTCAGTAGGGCAGTCTGACCTCAGGAAGCCGATTTAGCTTGAGGGCACGCTGCAGGGTCATGTTACGAGTGAGAGAGAAGAAATTCAGCTCAATCAGCTTGCGTGGGTTCAGCGATCTGTGCCAGTACCTTTTAGCAACCATAAAGAATAACAGAATTTGGTTTTTAACAATACCACAAATAAAACAGCAGCGGTGGTCTGGGAGAGTAAGAGAAATATCCTGACAATTTCTATACCTGCAGGTTGCAATAGGCTTTGGTAGGACCGCACTGGTGCTGTAGACTGCTTGAGATATACCCTCCTGATGGACACGTCTGGTGATCTCCTTGATTAGGACTGGTGCCACTCTTTTTGAGCGAAGTTTTTTGTGCACGCAAAGGAAGTTCACTTCCACCATCTTTAGCTCTCTGTGGAGCATCTTTGTCATTTGTATCAACCAAAATTATTTAAATAATTTTAAACAACTGAAAAAAAATCTTCACTTACGTGTCAAATACTTTCATAGTAGCAGGAATGGCATTTATGAATCCCACTAGTTTTTGACTGGAGTTTACTCTGACTCCACAGTGCCACTGTGATTGCCCTCCAGGGGGGCATAGAGCCCTGCAATAAATGCAAAAACATAGAGACATGATCAGTTGTTTGTGATCATATTGATGTAACTATTAAGAGATCAAACACACCAGAGCAAGAACTGTGGAGAGTAGTGCAGACGAAGTGTGTTGTCATCCTCCTCTGTGTAGTTTTCATTCAGCAAATCACAAAGTTCTCTCAGCTACAATTACATAGAGAAACATAAGGAGGAAACTAGTTACAGGGTTGAAGATAAAGATAATCGTTTGTCTTTTACTACAGGTTCTGTAGTTCCCAACTGGTGCATGGGCAGAAATGCGAAAAATGGAAAGCAGAAATGAAAAAATCTATTTAAGCTTTATCCTATCTGTGCGACGGTGTCATCAGACTGCTTTCTCTTAAAACAGGTATTTTGAGCAGGAGGATGGAGTATACCAAAGAGCAAAAACATAACAGTACCCTTGTAAAAAATAAATGTTCTTAATTATATTGAATGTGCACTTACAATTCTCTTAAAATCTTAAGAGTATATAAAAAAAAAAAAAAAAAAAGCTGTACTTGCAGAATAAATGGCCACTTACTTGTACTTATAGGCCTACACTTTCATATGTTTCTTAAAACACTTAAGACACTTAACACTTTTACTTAAAAAAAAAAGGTCAAATTAAACATTTTACTTTAAATACTTGTCACCTCATTCGGTAATATACTGTCACCATATTTCAAAGACACCAAGTAATTATGAAATTACATATAAAAGTGTACTAAAGTTCTTCTTAAAGGGTTAGTTCACCCAAAAATGAAGATGAACCGAAGTCTTACGGGGTTGGAACAACATGAGGGTGAGTAATTACTGATAGAATTTTCATTTTTGGGTGAACTAACCCTTTAAGTGGGTCAAAAAAGCACTCTTAATTTCAACTAACTGCACTGAGTATAAATTTAAACTAATACATTTTCCTTTAATTTTAAATAACCTGCAATCAGTGTCCGAAAACATTCAGTTTGCATACTATATTCTTTTAAAGTATATTACTTCTGTAATAATTACAGAGATAATATAATATTAATAATGAATAATTAGTAAGTGTTTTGACAAGGGTAGTCCTTATCATTTAATTACTTTCGGTACTTTACGTTTTTTTTTTTTTTTTTTACTACATTAGAAAATTAAAAAGAGTACTTAACATTTTATTAGAGTAATATTTCATCAAGGCATCGATATTTTAGTCCATCCTTGGATTTCAATGACATTTTTGTTCACTTCTGTTCAATAAATAATTTTGGGACTGTATTAGTTCAAAAAGTCCTTTCTCTCACCTGTTCCTGATTGTCCAGGTCGAGCGTGTCCCAAATGAATTCCTGTGGCAGTGAATACGACTCTTCTCGAACGCTGGGCATCTCTGACTTAATCGGTCCATATGATGTCACTTCCTCATCTAAAAGAGAATGAATGCCATTTGTAGAGATGCACACAGGTAAAGTTGTTTCTAGCTGTGCACTGTCCATCATACCTATCTTAGGGACTGGCTGGGTATCCCAAAAGCGGTATGTGTGCTTATGAGCCTCCAGTAGACTTCTTGGAGGCCCCTGACCAAAAGAAAACAGGTGCAGGGCTTTTTGAATCTCCTGTTGCTTCTCCTCAGGAAGAGAGTCCAGCTTGAAACAAATTTGAAATTATTTGAAACAGGTAAATATACTCATGCATCTCATAAAAAATATACACACAGACAGACTATTAGTTACCATTTCGAAAGGGTCCTGTGGCCCCTCTTTAGCCCATGTTTGGTCCTTGTGTTTCTTTGTCTTCTTCTTCTTGCCTTCAGCACCCCTGTTTTCCTCTAAACTGTTTAAAAGCAGTACATTTCAAAATAAAATATAATTAAAAGAGAGAGAGAGAGAGAGAGAGAGAGAGAGAGAGAGAGAGAGAGAGAGAGAGAGAGAGAGAGAGAGAGAGAGAGAGAGAGAGAGAGAGAGAGAGAGAGAGAGAGAGAGAGAGAGAGAGAGAGAGAGAGAGAGAGAGAGAGAGAGAGAAATTACAATGAATAGATACAGCACTTACAGGCTTTTCTGCTTGGCCATGAAAGTGTTTTCGGGCATTGGAGCAGCCAGTGAAGTGAACATTCAGTTCTGTAGTTGTGGGTGTTTGTGCTATAGGAGCTTATCTTAATGTGCTGTTAGGGCAGGAGGGAGACACCCAGCCTTCAACGTGAGTATCTACCAATCAGCTGCCCTCCACACCCACACACAATGATCACTTATCTTAGCGTAACACTTCAGGCTTGCTTTCAGAGCCACTAATAGTAAAGTTTAAACCAGTAGACTGCATAATTATGGGTAATGTGTTAAAATTCCTATAAACTTGATTTCAACTAGATTTAATAGCCTCACTGGGGCAATATATGTTTTGCCTTATCAATACTTTGATACATTTTTATTGTGTTTTTCATCATAACAAAATGCTATGATGTTAAAGTTTTTTGTAAACTAAAAGGTTTAGTTTTCTATAATTTGCCAAGATGAGTAGCATGATACTGCAATTCCAGTGGCTGCAGTTCCAGGACTGCATTTCTAAAACTCTATTGTAGTATGTACAATAGTACGTAGTAGTATATTTTATAGTACTATCTATTCAACTCTCTTACCAATTCACAAAATTAACGGAATGCATAGCTGATATAAAAAATTGGATGACTAGTAATTTCCTACTACTAAATTCTGAAAAAACAGAGATTCTAATTATTGGACAAAAAATGTCCTCACGTAATAACCTAGAATACTGTCTAACACTTGATGGCTGCTCTGTTAAGTCTTCGTCGTCAGTTAGGAACCTGGGTGTGCTCTTTGATACCAATCTTTAATTTGAAAGTCATGTGTCTAGTATCTGTAAAACCGCATTTTTCCATCTTAAAAATATATCTAAATTACGCCATATGCTCTTGCGGCGATACACGGTGACGGAGGGTTTAAGGTGATCAGCTAGCGACTACACCACCCTGGAATCTTGACAGGGACAATAAAGGGAATTTCTGATTTAAAGCAACACAGGTTCGTTCACAGTAAAGTGGCAGGAGACGTGGCTACAAAAAATATATACATTTTATTACAGATAGGAGACCTATTAAAAGCACAGAACAACCATCAATAGCACTTAATGTAGACAACGACAATTACACCATTAACAAGACACACACAGAGCGACCTGAGGAGTGAGCGGCATCTGAATTCAAGAAAAAGGAGCCGAGGCGTGTGTAGGGAATCTCGGGATTAGCTCTATTACAGGGAATATAATTTTAATAACTAATCATGAAACATGATCGGGAATCACCTACAAATTATAAAATTACCCGTAAGGGAATAAGTTGCCAATGTTCTGTATGAACGATTGAATGCACAATTGTACTATCAATAATCAATCACAAGAATTATAATTAAATATTGATATGTCAATTGTCTAAAATAGATCGATTGTCAGGATACTCTTTAAGGGGATTAATTTATGATCGAATCATCTGCTTGTCCAGCAAACCTGATCATTCGATCTCCATCAAACCTCACAAAATTATCCTCCTTTATAGACTTTCAAGAGAAGCTATTCCTTTGGCCACAAGGATTAACTTTACTGTTCTATAACAATACCATTTTAAGAATCAATAAATTTGTAAAGCACGTAGCTTTGATCACAACATTAAAGGGACTTTGAAATGTGCACGAGACAGTCAATCCAATGAATAATGTATTTAATAAAATGAAAACTACGTAGACATGGAATAAATGTATATACAAACAATAAAACAGCAAAAAGACACTGAAAGAAACTGAAAGTGAAAGAAACAGGGAGAGAGTGAGAGAGAGACCATTATAATGTTAGAAATACCAGGGTTTGCCATTTTGTCGTACTATTTAGCCTATGTGTTTCATGGGGGTGAAATTCTTATCGATGCGTTTCGTATACTATGTGTCTCATGTATAATTATATCGTGACAGAATGAGGGACTTTAATGTGATATCGTGGAATGCCAATGGTCTAAATTCTCCCATAAAAAGATCCAAATGCCTAGATTATCTGCATCGCAAACGAGCTGACATTGCCCTAATACAAGAATCCCAGCTCAAGGCTTCTGATGCTACCCGTTTTCAGAATAGACATTTTAAATTGGTAGCGTCCTCATCACATAATAGTGCCTCAAGAGGAGTTATTATCCTTCAGAACAGAAAATTCCCATTCCTAATAGAGAAAACGGGAGGGGATGAAAACGGGCGGTTTACTTATGCGTCAGGTTCATGGAATAATTAAAAAATGGTTCTCTTCTCAGTATACTCCCCTAATAATTATGATGTAGATTTTTTTCCATCTCTTACCAAAGTTCTCCTTAACTTTGTCGACTACAACTTGGTCGTAGGAATATGCTAATCCAGTTTGTGACCCCTTAATCGATAGATCCCTTGTCTCTGTTCATGGCGATCAGGCTTCGCAGTCGTTAAACGAGCTCATTGCTGATAACGACTTATGTGATATATGGAGAGTGAAGAATGAGAGCTGTAGATATTATACTTTTTATTCAGCACGCCACAAATCATTTTCGAGGTTAGATTACATTCTGATTTCTAAATCCCTTACCCAAGGCGTAAACCATATTGATATTCTACCCATTCTGATTTCGGATCACTCCGCTGTGATTTGTAATCTATCCCCTCCGATAATTACCTTAAGCTCCAAAAGGTGGCGTATGAATACAACTTTTTTGCAAAATGAAAATTTTGTAAAACAGCTACGTTCTAAATTATCTGTTTCTCAAAGAAAATTCGAGCTCATCTACTAATCCACAAATCCTATGGGAAACAACCAAGTGTTTTTTGAGAGGAAACTGTATTTGTTTTGCCTCCTATGTAAATAAATCCAGAGTAAAACAATTAACTCATCTGGAGGCTCAGATTAAATGTGTAGACATGGATCTTAAAAAAACTTTTACGGAAAAGAAAAGCAGAATCCTGGGGAATTTAAAAACTGACTACAAGGCGATTTTACTAAAAAGGGTTGAATTTTTAATACACCGTACCAAACAAAACTACAACTTTAATGGAGAGCGGCCAGGCAAACTTATGGCTTTAAGGCAGAAACGCAGTGAGGCCTTGGCCTCAATTACTGCCATTAAGGATAATGCAGATGTTCTTCATACAGCTCCGGGTGAGGTAAACAGGATATTCAAGGAATTTTATGAGCATCTATATAGATCTGAGGTGGGAGTGAATGAACAACCTGTCATTGATTTCCTGTTAAATTTAGATCTACCTAAATTAAGTGAGCAGCAATGTGCTTTTCTTGATTCTCCAATAGAATTAAAAGAATTGAAGGAGGCTTTAGAGGTTATGAATAAGGGTAAGGCCCCTGGTCTGGATGGTTTACCCCCGGAGCTGTATCTGGCGATATGGGATCTGATTGGACCATTCCTCCATGCCTCCATAAATTTTGCTATTGACACAGGTTGTTTTCATAGAGATCAGAACACCGCTCTTATTTCTCTGTTTCTGAAAAAAGGGAAAGACCCCCTATGTTGCTCTAGCTACAGGCCGATTTCACTAATTGGTACGGATGTCAAGTTATATGCTAAGGTTCTAGCCCGTCGTTTGGAAACAGTCGCCAGCTTCCTAATCGCCCACGACCAGACAGGATTTCTTAAGGAACGTTTTGCAACGAATAACGTGCGACGCCTTTTGAACATTATCGACTTACCCGACCCGGTTAATGAGCAACGTGCTATCCTCTCGCTAGACGCTGAGAAAGCCTTTGAGCGGGTCGAGTGGACATTTTTATGGTCTGCCTTAACCCGTTTTGGATTTGGCCCTCGTTTTATACATATGATTCAGACCGTCTATGTTAACTCTTCTGCGCGGGTCTCAACAGGTTTGTGCTGTTCGGATGCAATCCCTTTGAATAGAGGCACTAGACAGGGTTGCCTTTTGTTGGCCTTGTTATTTGCAATTTCATTAGAGCCCTTAGCGCAGGCAATTCGGCAGGACCATATTATTTCCCCGATTATTGTTGGCGACTCCAGGCATGTTATCTCTCTTTTCGCGGATGATATCCTACTCTACATGTCTAATACCTCCTCTTATCTACCTCAGTGTCTTAAAATATTTAATGATTTTAGCGTCATAAGTGGCTACAAAATTAATTGGGGAAAATCTGTATTAATGCCCTTGTCTGCGTCAACAAATACTGCATTAGCATCCTCCTCGATACCAATTAGTAAGACATTTAAATATCTGGGAATTCAGATCTTTCCATCAATGCAGACTATCTCTAAAGAAAATTATAGTTCTTTATTTACTACTATCAAACAAGATTTACAGAGATGGGACGTTATTTTTAAACTCTATTTTTAACCAAGAATTAAACTCTCAACATTGCAGAGAAGATCTGACAAAGGAGGCTTGTCACTTCCGAACTTAAAATGGTACTTTTGGGCATGTCAGCTGCGCTCTCTTAAGATTTGGTTACAGGTTGGCTCACAGATCGTCTGGCGGGAAGTGGAAGCATCAGCTGTGCTTCCGCATCGGCTCCAGGATATTCTATTCACAGGTTTACCAAAAAAAGTCCTAAGGTTTGGGAATACAATTGTGTACAACTCTCTTAAAATCTGGCACGAGGTGTGCAAATTCATGGGAAGTTCATCTAAATTCACATCTGAGTCGCCGATCTGGCATAATCATAATTTGCAATCCGACAACAGACCCTTTGTTTTTAAGCCATGGTCGGATCAAGGTGTATATACTCTTGGTGATATATTCAATAATCAGGGCTTAAGGTCCTTTCAAGATCTGAAAGAGTGTTATAATCTTCCTGGACATTCCTATTTTCT